AGCAATAAACTCAGATCATTGCCACTTCTTTCTTTGAAATGTGAGGCTTTACTACCTTTGTAAATGATTGTAAATATAAACTCTTTAAACTTTTAAGAGTTTATTTTTCAAATTTTTTTCAACAGGAGCATTTTTAAAATGCTGTTTATACACCAAAAACATCAAAATAACAGTCCATTAACCATTTCATTCATAGTCGTGAATATTCCACAGCTGGATTGATCACTTGCTATAGACAGTGATTATGTCCAGCGACTTTTCATTTTTTTCTTAAATTCCTCTAAGCCCTCAGTCACACAAGCTGGCAGATCAGCCTGACAGCCCTTTGGAACTCCTGAATAATTAGTATTCCCACACTGGTTGCAAGTGGTTGCTGGGAAATAGCTTGTTATCAACATCCTGGTCACCAGTTGGCCACAACCTGGCAACTAGAGTTCACCAAGGAAAAATTTGTATTCCCAAAGGTCTCTAGCAGAATGCCTGTAGTCTGCATGTAAGATGCCAACTTGTCTGCAAACACTTGCCAACTGCTCACAGAGCAGTAGTGAAACTATGAAGACTGTAACAAACTGGAAATGAAGAAAATTCTCTTCAAGTAAAAAAGTTCTGCCTTTGACACATGTTGGTAGCAAACAGAGGCCGCAGCATTTACTCTGAAGGTGACCACTCTTCGTTTCTAGCTTATGCTACACTTTTTCAAGTTTTACAGGTTTCTCGGCGTGTAGTTGACACGTGTTTCCAGACAAGTTCAGACTTGTTGGCCACCAAAGCAATCAAAGATGTTGTTGGTGCAGCAACGTCTTTACGACTGATTTTTATCTGGCAAGAGCCAGTTACCTCCAGCAACCAGTCTCCTACCAGTCGGGGGATTGCCACAGCGACCTGTGGTTGCTGGGGATCACACGCCACCTGTCTCTAGGCCAGGGGTGGGGAATTCCAGGCCTCAAAAGCCGGTGTCCTGCAGGTTTTAGATGTATCCTTGATCCAACACAGCACAGCTTATTTAAATGGCTAAATTACCTCCTCAACATGTCTTGAAGTTCTCCTTGACGCCTGGTAATGAACTAATCGTTTGATTCAGGTGTGTTGACCCGGGGTGATATCTAAAACCTGCAGGACCCTCGAGGTCTGGAGTTCCCCACTCCTGCTCTAGACATTTGTGACTGAGGGTTTAAAACACTAGAAAATGCTCAGTGAGGCATCTTACTGATGGTCTGATGTCCAATGTGTTTCACAAAAGTTTCTTCTATAAATAAATCCGACTTTCAACTATGAGTTTCACCAAGTTGCCCTCTCATCTATCTGTCACCTTTCAATGCACATATTGAAATTCAGCTGTTTGTACAAATAACCTGCAGAGCTGGTTTTGAATACATGATTGGAGGAGTCTCTTCCTGTGTGGAATGATCTCAGTGTGCACCATAACTTGATCTATTTTAATCAGAATCGTAGGGAGAGCAGGGAGTTTAGTACTACAGCACTGAATGCGTTTGTTTAACCAAATAATGCTCAAGTCTTTCACCGGGTTTGTTTTGAGCCGTTGGCCTGTTAGAGCCGTCACTGTAAACCCAACCCGGAGACCCACAGAGGCTCGAAGAGTGATATGTCTTCCCCAGTTGTGGCGTTGATGTTGCACAGAGCCGTCACTGTTTCTCTCAGCGTTCCGTTAATCCGGCTGCTTCACAGACTGGCTTTATGTCTTCTCTTCATATAGCTCACTTCATTTGCATTTACATTTGGGTTTTATCTGATCGAGGCCCCGACGGCACATTCAACTGATTCGTTGTCTCGGCTGAGCTCAGCCACGCCTGCCTTTGAGTAACACACACCCCTACATGCACACCTGCACGCCTCTCTGTGTTTTGCTGTCAGTTGAATGGCTTGTCTCTGGTTCTTTCAGTGACGTTTTGTTGTGTTTTGCACAAATCATACATGCAGTTGGTTCAGTGCACGCAAACACACACTCACACACACACACACCCCTGCGGAGGTGGATTGTTTGAGGAAGGTAAAAAGCTGGTGCTGCAAGACTGTCTGGTCAAACAAGTAATGGTAATCTGTGTGTGTGTGTGTGTGTGTGTGTGTGTGTGTGTGTGTGTGTGTGTGTGT